ATTCACATAGAGTTTAAATGAAGAGCTGGTGTAAAATCTTCTAGGCTTCAGCTGAAAAACAGGGGTAGCAATGATAATTTCAGATAAAGCTACAATAAATATAGATAAGATAAAAAGATAAGCAGAGAAATTTTGTTAAATTATATTAAGGATATCTATTAAAAGGCACAATTGATATAACAAGTCAGAATATCAGTACTGAACACATATGTACCTAATAATAATAATACCTAATTTTAAAGGAGAAGCTTAAAAGAATTAGAGGGAGAAATATAGTAAAAGTATAATGTAAGAGAACTTCATATATTCCTAGACAAATTTACCTGAAAAATAAGCAAGAAAGAAATTAAGACCTGAATAGAACTTTAGAAAAATTAGAGGTGATAGATCTTTGGTGACTACTGAATAGGAATAGAAAATAATACACACATATAGCTAGACAGGACATAGCACCTTTACAAAAACTGAGGCAAAAAGACCTCAACAAAGAATTCAGAAAAGCAGAAATAGTGGGCACATGATTTACAAATTATAATGCAAGTAAAATTATATTCAACAAAAAGCCCATAAAAAAATTAAGAATTAATTGAAGACTAAATAACATAATTCTAAAGAACTAGTGGTGGGTCAAAGAACAGATTATAGAAACAGAAAATTTTATTAAGGAAAATGATAATGAGATAACATACTAAAATGCATTCAATACAAATAAATCAGTTCTGAGGGGAACATGTTTATTTCTGAATCGAGAAAAAGAACAAATCAGTGAAATGAGCATGAAATTAAAGAATTTCAACAACAAATAAAAATTAATAACAAAGTAGAAATTATGAAAATTGAAGATCAATAAAATTGAGAGCCAAAAAGATAATATTGAATTTATAAATAAACTGTGAGCCACTTTTAAACAGGTCTAATAATATTGATGAATAATCAAATTTTTTAAAAAGAGGAAAACCATATTATTCATATCAAAAAATGAAAAAAGAACTTTGATGACTTAGAAGAAATGGATGAATATTTGTAAAAATACAAAAGGCTCATTAACAAATATAGCTATTTAAATAGCTCAATATCAGAAAAAGGATTTCTGGAAGTCATATTTGACTCCAGGTCTGGTGGAGAAAACTCCCAGACCAGATGGATTTAAAATAAGCTTAACAAAACCTTCAATTTCACAAATACATGAATTATTTGAAGTGACAATAAAATAAATGACCCAATCTTTCTGTGATGCAAATATGGCCATTATATGAAAACTAGGGAGAGATAAGGTAGAGAAAGAAAATTTTAATATTGCTGATGAACTTTGGCCCCTAAATTTTCCTAAAATGTGGTAAATGGCTACAACATAATAGCGTAGTTGTACCCCATGACCAGATTGGGTTTTATCCATCTAGGGACTAGGTGAATCTAACTATAAAATACTCTTTATAAAAATATAGACTTAAATAATAGAGAAACAATAATTGCTGATGGGTAAATTGAACTAATATAATTAAAATGATAATGCTAATTACTCATTCAGTTCTCTAGTAATCAAGCTTCTAAAATAATATTTTATAGAGCTGGAAAAAATAATTAAATTAATCTGGAAGAACAAAAGGTCAGGAATCTCAAAAGTAATAGTGATCAGTACCAGACCTCTAACTGTACTACAAAGCAGTAATTTTTCAAACATTTTTGTTCAGATAAAAAAAAATGTTTCTTCAGTGGAACAGATTAGATACACAACATGCAGATAAATAACAGTAGCATAGTGTTTGCTTAATCCCCAAACCCCACTTACTGGAGTAAGCACTCACTGACAAAAACTTCTGTGAAATTTGGACAGTAGTCATGAAGTAATTAGGCATAGACCAGCACCTCACACTATGCAATAAGTTCTGCTCCAAATGGATATGTGACCAAGATGTAAAGGTTTTCATAAATAAATTATAGGAGCAAGGAAGAAATTACCTTTCTCACCTATGGATAGGAAAAGAGTTCATCACTAAACGAATGTTAGAGAATCACAGAAGATAAAATAGATAATTTTGATTATATAAAATTTAAAAAGTTTTTGTATCTAAAAGAGTTAGTCAAAATCAAAAGGGAAACAGGTAGCTTGGAACAATCTGTTCAATAAGTTTCTCTGATGAAGTTTTTACATCCGAGTTATATAGGGAATTAATTTAAATAAGGATCATTTTCCAGCAGATAAGTGGAGGACGTGAAAAGGTCAGTTTTCATAGAATAAAATCCAAGCTATTAACATTCTTATGAAAAATGCTCTAAATCGCTAATAATTTTTTGTTGTTCAGTTGTGTATGACTCCTCATGACTCCCTTTAGGGTTTGCTTGACAGATACTGGAGTGGTTTGCCATATCCTTCTCCAGCTCATTTTACAGATGAGGTAACTGAGGCAAACAGGGTTAAGTGAGTTATTCAGGGTCACACAGCTAGTGAGTGTCTGAGGCCAGACTTGAATTCAGAAAGAGTCTTGTAGGCCCTGTACTCTATCCACTGTGTCACCTAGCTGCCCCACTAATAATTAGAGAAATACAAAATAAGCAATTTAGAGGTTCTACCTTATACCTGTCAGCCTGGCAAAGATGATAAAAGAGGAAAATGACACATGTTGAAAGGGCTGTGGGAAAATAGCTACTAGAGCACTGTTGTTGGACTTGTGAGTTTGAAGCAAGCCATTCTGGAAAGCAATTTGGAACTCTGCCCAGAAGTTACCAAACTGTGTATACTCTTTGACCCAGCTATACCACTACGAGGCCTGTACCCCAAATTAATTAAGAGAAATAGGAAAAGAATCTATATGTATAGCAGTCAAAATTGGAAACCAAGGGAGTATCTTTCTGATGGGGAATAGCTAAACATTCTTTTTGAACATAATGGAATACCAAGAGAAATTATGAAATAGATAATTTCAAAGGAAATGGGAAGACTTTTATGAATTGATGCAGGTCAAATTGAGAAGAAATCAGAGAATAATTTATACAAAGATAATAGCATTATAGAGAAAAGCCAATTTGAAGGACTTTAGAACTTTGATAATTTAACTATAAATCAGGAGTCTGAAAGAATGAAGACAAAACTTACCACCAAGAAGAGGTGAACTTGAAATGACGAAAGATCCATACAAATTTGGACATGGAAAGTGGAGATATTTCTTTTGCTGAACTAGGCATCTGCGTATCAAGGCTTTTATTTTAATTTTCTGAAATTTGCTCAAGGTGGTTGGAGGGAGAGATTAATTTTTAAAACTTTATTAATTAAAAAACAAGTAAAAGATAACAAAAATGGTTTTTTATTATGCTTGATAATTGATTTTTATCATTCATTCATTCATTCAACAGATGTGACAATCTATTGTGAATGAACTACAAATACTTTAAAATAATGATTTTTTTTTTTTACTGTGCTTCTCCTTGGCTGTTTTCTATTGTATCTAGTCCAAACTGTTCTTCCTGTTTTTTTCAAGGCTCATCATGATCTGTCTATATCCAACTCCTCAGTTTCTCACAACTCCATATCAAGCAGCCCTCATTTTCATTAATCTAGTTTCTATACTATCTTGTAGACTTACTGTAATTATTCCTGTTTTTACAGTCCATATATAATTTGCTCCTATCCATCTCCAGCACCTATCCATTTTTTAATTTTTATTCTTTTTTTTTTTTTAAAAGGCAATTGGGGTTAAGTGACTTGCCCAGGGTCAAACAGCTAGTAAGTGTCAAGTGTTTGGTCTGAGGTTGGATTTGAACTCGGGTTCTCCTGACTTCGGGGCTGGTGCTCTGTCTGTTGTGCCACCTAGCTGCCCCTTGTTTTTACTCATTCTTAAAGGCCCAGATCAAATCCTGCATCCTTAATGATGACTTCTCTTAACTGTTCATGGTGTAATGGAAAGAATAGCAGAGTAAGAGTTTTGTTTTCTAGCTATTCCACCAAATTGCTGGTGAGGCCTTTGACAAGTTACTTAACTTCCCTGCACATCAGTTTCTTCACCTCTAAGATGAGAGAATTAGCCTAGACAGCGCTAGCCTCCCAGTGCTAAAGTTGTATGATTTCTACTCTTTTTTTTTTTTTTGAGGCAGTTGGCGTTAAGTGACTTGCCCAGAGTCACACAGCTAGTGATTGTTATATGTCTGAGGCCGCATTTGAACTCAGGTCCTCCTGATTCCAGGGCCAGTACTCTATCCACTGCGCCACCTAGCTGCCCCTAATTTCTACTCTTGTTACTAAATCTGACTCTTTCCTTTATACTTTTATAGCCTTTACAGCCTGTAACACATAATTCAGCATTTAATTAGGTATTGTTTTGTATTATTTACTTTCATTTGATGTGACTTTTTTTTTCTCAGGCTTGAGGGCAGGTACTATATCTTAAGGCAGTGAGACAGGTTGTAAGAAAGAACAGTGTACTACCTGATTAGGATTCCTATGCTTAAATCTCAGTTGCAATACTGACTGACTAGCTGTGTGTAATCATGAACAAGTCACTTAAATACTTTGTAAGCCTTAAAGTGCTTTATAAAATATGAAGTATTATTTTTATTATCTCTGCTGTCTTGTTCTCATCATTTATTCTTTTAACTGTTATCATTGTCACCTTATTTAATGATGCTGCTGCCGGTGATGATGATGGTGATTAAAGGATAATAGACCTAGTGCTGAAAGGGAATTAGGAGACCATTTAGTCTAACCCTTTCATTTTTTTACAGATGAAGAAACTAAGGTTTAGGTTGGTTAAGTGACCTGTTCAAGGTTACAAAGAAAATACTCATCAGATATGGGATTTTAATTAATTAAAAAAATTTTTTTTTCTTATTCTCAAAAGTATCTAGGACAGGCCTGAGCACAGGCTTAATGATGAACAGTTGTTAATTGATTTATGTAAAACATCAAATGATACTGAATACACTTGATATCGATCTTATGAAGTAATGATAAAATGTTTTTATGATATGATAATTAATTTTGCTAACCTTTCTCTACTCTTCTTCAGGGAAGGAAACAGAGAAGGCAAAAGACCGTTATGACAAAGCAACAATGAAACTTCATGTGTTGCATAATCAATATGTATTGGCTTTGAAAGGGGCACAGCTTCATCAGCATCAGTATTATGATACTACACTTCCTCAACTCCTGGACTCATTACAAAAAATGCAAGAAGAAATGATCAATGCACTGTAAGATAAACTTCCTTTTGTTCAGAATCGATCTTCTAAAATAATTTTGCTATTTTCTATGCCATTGATATTTTAATACATACCATACAAAAGTTTTTATTATTCTATTGTACACTCAATTATTCTCTCTTTTGGCCTCTCTTTCCTCTCTTATAGTTAATCATATACCTTTTCTTGCATTCTTCTTAATATTAATGGAGGAAGTCATATTGTTTTGCTGATTGAGACCACTACAGACACGTTCTTTAATCTCAACTGGGCCCTTAACGTTGCTTTTACTCTTCCTTGATTGACTTTTTATTTAATTCTCCCTCGTTTCTGTATGAAACCTCTTCTCTTCTTAACCCACTTACTTTGTCCCATTTTTCCTCCTTAGCCAAAGATCTCACTTCATATTTCACTGAAACAATTGCCATCCTTCAAGAGTTCTTCTCAGTTCAACATGTCAGACCATCTTAATGTTCTCCTCCCATTATCTCCTCTCTCTGTTGCTAGAGAAGAACCGATCCTGCTGTTTGCCAGCCACCCTGCTTGTGCCCTTGATCCCATCCCATCGTGTTTCTCCAGGAGTTTATCACTTCAGTCATTCCCCGTCCTCCTCACCAACTTTCAGTCTTTATTTATCCACTGGTTCCTTCCTTCCTTGCTTGCAAACATACCATCCTTAAAAAAAACATCATTTGACTCTATTCCATCCTCTTAAGATATTGTCCTTTATTTTTCCTCCTTTCGCTACCATACTCCTAGAAAAACCTGTTTACGCTACTGATCTCAACTTTCTCACCTCCCACACCTTGACCCATTGCAATCTGGCTTCTTTCCCACCACTCAATAGAAACTACTCTCTCAGGTGTGACATGTTATCTTTTAATTGCTAAATCAAAAGTCTTTCTCAGTCCACATCCTTCTCCAACCTTCTGTAAGCATTTGGCACTCTTGACCAGTAATATTTTCTGGATAGTCATTCCTTTCTGGGTTTTCCTGATAGTGCTGTGGTTTTCTTCCTGTCTGTCACATTGGTTCTTTTCAGTCTCCTTTGCAAGATTGTCATTCATATCCTGTCCATATGTTTGAGTGTTCCCTAAACCTCTGTTCTAGAGTAGTGTTTGTATTAATTGAAACAGTCAGTAATTTCGATATGGTTTTATTTTGTGACAGCATTCATTCATATTTTTTTCTACTGATACTACATTTACTTGCAAAGTCAGACATTGACCAAACTGAGCTGTTTCCTCACCTTTTTTAGTGTTGGATTTTATGCTATGCATGTTTCATCGTGCTCTTTTGTTGTGCTTTTAATTTTGTGGTTTTAAAAAATGTAAATTATTCCAAGGAAACCTGCAAATATTGTCACTCTTAAATAACATCAATGATTTTTAGAGATACTGCAGGATCTTTCTGGTATGGGTAAAGCATTTCAGGGGTCATTCAAGCACAAAGATTAGTAGAAAAAGATTAGTCTTATCAAAAGGAAAAGAAAATTTTGGATGAAAACAAAGAAAAGCAAAAGCAAGAACTGGCAAGCTAATCCTGCAACATAGCCTATCCAGAAATAAGCCAAGATTTTTAAAGGGATCTGGCAGCCACAGAATTTGTTATTGATTTCTTAGCAGTGAAGGATAGTCTCCTTGAAGTTAGAAGAACAGTGAGAAGTCCAGGTAAAAAAAAATTCTGCTACTCATTACAATGAAGAAAAGATCTTTGTTATGGGCAAGGCAATACAGAGACTAAAGTAATTAAAATTGGAAAAAGGCAAATTTTACTCACTCTTGAAGTCAAGCTAATGCCAAAGTCATTATCAGAACAAGTGTAGGTAAGCCTTTATGCTTTGAACATCTTCATCAAAACTGTAAAATATCCACCCTAAAAATATTTTGGGAAGTTTTAAACTTCTTGTTTTTTAAACTTCCCTGTCTCCATTGAGAGAATGATGAATTTTGATAATTATATTGCTATATGGAGAAGCAAAATTGTTCTGGATTTACAGAAATACCTAAATGGAGATGGAATATTACCTTTTACCATTGTACATATCAGGAAAGGTCAAGAAGTATCCAAAAGATAAAGATAAACATATTTCAGTTACCTGGCAATTCACATGATTTAAACCCCATAGAAAACCTATGGAATATAATAAAGGATAGTCTTGGAAAAATGGACTATTTGTCAAAGATACATTCAATAACCTATGTAGTAAGTGTAGTTTCATTAAGATGATTTTAAAGAATATATATCAATTTTGGAAACTTAATGCCTGATCATCTAAAATAAGCATTTACAGCAAAGTACTGCATATTAAAAGCCCTTCAATGATGTAAAAAGTTGTGAAGTTTATCATATAAGTAAATAAATTTTATTATTTTACTTTTTCCCAAGTAATGTGTATACCATTCTAGTTTTTCTATCTTTTCATTCTAGTCTAGTCTATCTCTATAATCACTCTTAGTGATCTTATCAGTTCTTACTGATATATAATTTCCAATATATTCCAAATTTCCAATTACTGATATAATTTCCAATCTGATAACTTTCATGCACACTCATACAATACAGAGGGTGTCCCAAAAGCATTAGTGCATTTTAAAGGTATCATACCTTTAAAATGCACTAATGCTTTTGGGACACAATATATACATATATGTTTATACTACATATGTATATGTATATTTATGTGTCTATCTATCTAGACATGTACATCTTTTCTTATAACTTTGTTATTTCTGTGGAGGGCACCACAATTCTTTTGCTCACATTGGTTTGGAATCTAGTATTTACCTCGACACTTCACTCTCATTCACTGTCCATGTCCAGTTATTTGCAGAGACTTTTTGATTATATCTCAATTCCATCTCGCATCCATCTAATTCTCTCAGTTCACATAGCCAGAGCCATGAGATCATTACCCATTTGCCCGTATTGTAATACTTCCTAATTTGTGTTCCCGCCTCATCTTCCTGAGTTCAAATCGAACCTCAGACACTTATTAGCTATGTGACCCTGAGCAAGTCACTTAAACTTGTTTTGTCTCAGTTTTCCTAATCTGTAAAATGAGCTGGAGAAGGAAATGGCAAACCACTCCAGCATCTTTGCCAAGAAACCCCAAATGGGGTCACAAAGAATCAGACATGTCTGAAAAACAATAATTGAAGCCTTTCCCATCTGGGATACAGTGTTCAAACTGGTATTCTAAAACAGAGGTCTGACCCAGTCATTCCCCTGCTCAGAAACCTGGTGCCTCTCTATGAATAAACTGCAAGGACACCCTAATCCCTGTAAATAATACCTCTAGGATTAAACACATACTCTTTGGTTTGGGTTTTAAAATCCTTCATAGCTTGGTTTGGGCGAATCTCACCGGATGGGTTTCATATCCTCCCTCTCATGTACTAGGTTTTCTAGCCATGCTAGTCTCCTTACCTTACCTCAGTCCTCTTCATAATCTCACACCTCTTTGCCTTTGGATAAGCAGCATCCCTGGAAACTTCTCCCTCCTCATTTCTGCCTTTTGAAACCCATGGCTCCTTTCAAACCCAACCCAAGTTCCCTCTTCTTCAGGAGACCTTTCCTGATTTCTCTCAGTTGGTAGCAGCATTCCCCCTCCCTCCCCTCCCCCCAATTACATTGCTTTTATTTTGATCATATTATGCATTTGTGTATATCTTGTATCCACCTAGTGGAATTTAAACTTCTAGAGGGCAGGAGCTATATATATATTTTTTCTTTGTATCCCTGTCTGTTGTATAGTAGGAGTTTAATACATGCTTTTTGGATTGATTTGGATTCTCCATACAAAGGAGGGCATTACCCATGCTGATTTTACATATTTCCTTCTCTTTACCTTTATTTCCCTTCATGTGTTCCCTTTGCTAGAGGCAGTTTAATAATATGGTGGCCAGAGTACAGGAACATCTGAGTTCAAATATAGCCTCAGACACTTAACTAGCTATGTGAATGTGGGCAAGTCATTTAACCTCTGCCTGCCTCTGTAGAATGGGGATAATAATAGCATCTACCCCACAGAGTTGTTGTGAGGATAAAATGAGGTAATATATATGAAATGCTTTGCAAACCTTAAAGTGCCACATGCTTATTATGCTTATTATTAGTAGTATAATCATCATCTTTATAACTTCGGCTATTTCCTAAATCTGATAATTCTTCTTCTGGGTTGCCCAGCCTAACAACACACAGAGTCAGTGTTCGATTTTCTGTATCTCCTGTTTGCCCAAAACAATAGGAACAACAATAAAAGTCCCACTTCTAGCCAACAATTAAATACAATTGATTAGCTGCCCATTCTAAAAGGATTAAGAATCTTTTAAATAGTAAAACCACTGTAGCCTTCAGAAAGATTACTTGGAGGTTCAGTAGCTAGACTCTGCTTAGTTTCTGAATCTTCTGCCAGAAAGTTTTCTTAAGGGACTTGATTTTCCCTTGTGTGAAATTTAGTATTTGCTTCAGTTCCATTGAATAGAGTTGATAAAGGGCATTTGTATCAGCTACTGGGAATCTTGGGGGAATGGAAAAGGAAGTGTGAAAGGAAGGACCAGAAAAATGTTGTGGAATAGTAGAAAGAGAACTGGCTACAGAGGCAGGTTATATGAGGCCCTAGTCCTGGCTCATTCACTACCTGAGTATCCTTGGGCTAGTGACAGTTTTACCTTTGTGAGCATCAGTTTACTATTCTGTAAAATTATGACTTGATAGTCTTTAAGATTATCCTGCTGTAAGATTCCACAAAAGAAGTGTGACTTCCTCTAAGATAATAATTGTACAGTGAATTTCCTGGGGTTAGCTAGGTGTGACAGAACCAGCCCTGGAGTTAACTGAGTAAGACCAGGAATGTTAGACTCCACTCATTCATATAATGCATTATCTGAGATGATATGTAACTTATTAGAAAGTGGCCAAAGCCAGGGAGTGAGGAGTAGCTACTTCTGTGCTTAAGAGAATTGTAAAAGAGATGTGATAGCTTTCTTAATTGCAGTGACACGTTGTAA